ATTCAGTGCATGAGACAGATAGTGGTGTGCAGTTGAATCAGGGGTACATAGAAAAAGAATTTCTACTTTGTATGTTACAAAAACTGGAAGGCATAGTAAATGAGGATGTAAGGGGTATGTCTATTTTGCAGACCCAGAGGTCATCTCTATTGGGTCGGGAATAAAACTAATGAATGTTCTTTAATGCTATCCAAACTAGGTTGGAACAGGTGGAGAGCTGGTAGAAGTTTACCAGTAGAAGCTCAGCTCTTTTCTGACTACAGTCTAGACATTAGGGCTGTGGGAAGCTTCAGGTGGTGATTCAATTCAGAGGAGATTCGGCCCAATTCAGTGACTGAATTACCAAATCTGAATCAAACCAATTTAAAGCTCTGAATCAATTCAAAGCTCTCTAAATCTTCAGAAAAGATTTGGAGAGCTTTGATGATTCGGGCAGTCCCCAGTGGCTGCAGTAGGGAGCTGCAGCTGACTACATGCTGGTAAGTACTAGGAGTGGGGGAGGGGTAGCTGGGGGAAGGGACCATGGGGGGGCCCTGCCAGACCCCTAACCCCCCCAGCCCTGGGACTCACTGCTCCTGCTGCAGCCCTGGGGCTTCAGGGACTCGTGCAGAGCCCCCACATGGTATAGGGCAGTGGGGGGCAGTGGGGATCACCCCCCACCAGCAGAAGCAGTGAGTGTGGGGGGTTTCAGGGTTTTTTTTCTTAAAGGGCTGGAGCTGGCCCAGGTGGGGCACCCATGGGGGAGGCCAGGGGAGTGAGGGGGTGGTCGGGGGCTCGTGTAGAGTCCCTCATGCAGTGTGGGGCAGTGGAGAGTAGCAGGGATTGCCCCCCATCAGGCAGCACCCACTGAGCCGGGGATTTTTTTTTAACAAGTACCAGGAACTGTGGTGGGCAGGACAGCCATTGCCAGGCTGGGAGAGCAGGTAAGGAATAGTCCTGGGCTGGCTGCTTCAGAGATTCGGCCGAATCGAATCGGGACAGTGATTCAAATCATCGAATTGAATCACTGTCCCTTGAATCATCCAAATCCAAAGCAAATATTAGCCGCTTCGCACAGGCCTAGTAGACATATCTTGTGCTCTGCGTTGGTCAGTGTCATTTGTATAGAGGCTTGTTTTTGCAACTCACCAGGTCCAAAGATGGGAACAACTTTTAGCAGTGGTATAAGAATATATGGCAATATAAAGAGAACTGCCTTTCAAATTATGTTTTTCCCTATTTCTGAAGCCATTGAACTATGAAGTTATGTAAAGTGTTTCATAAAGGGAGAATCAGGCCCCCCAGAGTTGCTTTGTCAATCTGTCCCTTATACTATCAAGCTGAAATCTTCTTATTATGGAATATATCTCAGATTCCCTTTGCAATATCCTATGATTCACTTATTTTCTTGTAAGGACATAACCCCAGATAAAACCTGAATCGATTATTATGTTTTTGTACTTTATGCTTCTTTGGTCAGATTCTATTTACTCGTGGCCTTTCTGTTTCAATCATTAATGAGTATGTAAGACTTTTACGCTATGATATGTTGGAAAACAATCCATACATAATAGGGCTGTCATATAGATGTACAGGAAAAGACTTTTTGTCATTTCAACTATGAGATGTGGGTAATCTACGTAATGTGAGTTAAAAATCACAATGGACATTTAGTTATTTAGTTCTCAGGCACAATGGAAATTGGAAGTGGAGACATTATATACTGCAAATAACCCTTAACCGTTATCTTTGCAAGTGTCTATTGTTCTGCTCCAAGACTCTTTTTCTCCCCTTGAAAGAGTTCATGAAATAGAAGTCTATTATTTATTGTCCTTCAGATTTTCACATGCATTTATAAAATACAGTAAACATGTCAAGAAAACACAAAACCTAAGAAATAGTTCAAAACAAACCTTATCAAATTTCTGCCGTAGCAGGTGAATTTGTAGCAAATGACATACACTTCACGTTTCCAATTCATATAAAAGAATGCTTCTCAAATTACAAACCCTATAAGTTGGGTCTTGCCTTGCTCCTTTTCTATTTCATTTGGGAACTGAAGGGTAAGTCAAACTTCTGTATAAATTACAAAAATTATAGTTACATACTACTGTAAATCTTTCTGTTTAAACTTTCCATCTTAGATGGGTTTTTTCACTGTCTCCTTACATTCTTCTCTATTACTACACCTCTAGTCTTTTCTTGGGGGAGAAATAACCTCTGATAAGGATTTAGAATGCTGATTTCTGCTTGTGAAAAGAGAGGGATTAGAAACATAAAGGTTAAACAATTGTTTTTCTCTTGATTGAGTAATGATTAAGTGTATACCTTGACTATTTCTTCCTTACTGTAGTTAATATGTCTGTTGTTGCTTGCATAATTAAAACTGAAACTAGAGCTTGTTCCACAAGAGAAAATGGGAGAAGGTAATGATTAAGTGTATACCTTGACTATTTCTTCCTTACTGTAGTTAATATGTCTGTTGTTGCTTGCATAATTAAAACTGAAACTAGAGCTTGTTCCACAAGAGAAAATGGGAGAAGTTAATCATTTATATTAAAAAAAGAAAGAAATTGTTTATTTTGTCTATAAAATGGCTAGTTGGGTATATTGTAAAAGATAAATTGCCTGTTTTGATACAATAAGTATTTAAACTTAGGCTAATTTTAGCTACATTATCAAACTCAGTTTCACTAGCAAAGATGACTAAGCTAATGGAAGTTTCAGCCCCAAAGACAAAATGTTACGTCCACATAAAGAATTAACATTTCTAAACCTTTTTTCTCTCCTTTTTCTTCTTTTTTGATAAGGATAACAATATCAAATAATAAATTACCTGTATTTTACAGCTGGCCAAAAATGATGCTGTCACCTCAGTTGTTTCATGTAACCACAGCACTCACCCTGTTGCTGGTGACATCCTACGCTGAAAAAGAGTACATAGGAATTTGTGGGAAAGGAAACCAAGGAAAAAAAGGTATCCACAAGTCTTACTTACATTGAAATCTGGATGTGTTGGTGTATTTGATGATTACACTTGATAAACTGAATACAGTTGGGTTATATGATGATGCTTGATTATATGGTTGTCAAGTAGATTAAAACCAGGATAGGTTTTACCTGCAGATAGTGGTAAGGTTACCTTGGGGGCTTCATACAAAGGTTCAGTTTCAGGCCCCAGTCTACTACACAACCACATTAAAAATAATAGTCAGAACCTAACAGGGACCCTTGAACAGATGGGCATAGCTTGTACTGCCCTAATAATACCAGCAGCTCTGGCTAAGGAATCTTTTACTCCCTGCTACTGCTGCAGAACCTACATAGCTAAGAATGAGAGAGCTGGAACTACCCTGGGTTCATGAAGGATTTAACTGGAAAGCAGTGAACTACAGAGGTGCATCTGGCCAGGACTACATGCCCGGTGGTGCTGACACATGGAACAGTGGCAGGGGCTGGACTCCTGTTCCTGTGGGTGGCAGACAACGCCTCTTTTTTTTTCAGATGCTGACATCTATTGAGAAACCTCCAAAACACCTGTTTTCAATGGCAGAAAGGGAGGTGACATTTCCCCCCACAGCTCCTCCCACACTGTTTGCTTCTGCAGCTGTTCCACCCCTCTCCACTGGCAAACTGAGAGCATAGTAGGGTAAGTGCAGGGGTCAGGAGGAAGGGGAACAGAAAGGTGAGATGCCACAAGTTCTATTCCAGCCCTTGCCTTAGCACCTAACAAAAAAATCTCTCTGAGCCTTTTGGTACCTATATAACTTTAAATGTCTGACTCTGAGGGACTATCAATACAACGGCAACTGATCGTCATTACAGAGTCACTTTTCAGAGCAGAATCATACTTTACAGGTAAGAAATGAATTTAATTGAACTAAATGTTAACACGATAAAATTACATTTCTGCTGGTAGAACAACCTCAGTCAAAGGTGCACAGCAAAATGTGAAGCCAATATCAGCAGTACCAATGAGTTACTCCAGTGCTTGAATGTAATAATAAACTATTACCTTCTTGCTAGGTTAATTACTAGAAGGGGACAATTATTTATTGTCCTTCAGATTTTCACATGCATTTATAAAATACAGTAAACATGTCAAGAAAACACAAAACCTAAGAAATAGTTCAAAACAAACCTTATCAAATTTCTGCCGTAGCAGGTGAATTTGTAGCAAATGACATACACTTCACGTTTCCAATTCATATAAAAGAATGCTTCTCAAATTACAAACCCTATAAGTTGGGTCTTGCCTTGCTCCTTTTCTATTTCATTTGGGAACTGAAGGGTAAGTCAAACTTCTGTATAAATTACAAAAATTATAGTTACATACTACTGTAAATCTTTCTGTTTAAACTTTCCATCTTAGATGGGTTTTTTCACTGTCTCCTTACATTCTTCTCTATTACTACACCTCTAGTCTTTTCTTGGGGGAGAAATAACCTCTGATAAGGATTTAGAATGCTGATTTCTGCTTGTGAAAAGAGAGGGATTAGAAACATAAAGGTTAAACAATTGTTTTTCTCTTGATTGAGTAATGATTAAGTGTATACCTTGACTATTTCTTCCTTACTGTAGTTAATATGTCTGTTGTTGCTTGCATAATTAAAACTGAAACTAGAGCTTGTTCCACAAGAGAAAATGGGAGAAGTTAATCATTTATATTAAAAAAAGAAAGAAATTGTTTATTTTGTCTATAAAATGGCTAGTTGGGGATATTGTAAAAGAGGAATTGCCTGTTTTGATACAATAAGTATTTAAACTTTATATTGTAAAAGATAAATTGCCTGTTTTGATACAATAAGTATTTAAACTTAGGCTAATTTTAGCTACATTATCAAACTCAGTTTCACTAGCAAAGATGACTAAGCTAATGGAAGTTTCAGCCCCAAAGACAAAATGTTACGTCCACATAAAGAATTAACATTTCTAAACCTTTTTTCTCTCCTTTTTCTTCTTTTTTGATAAGGATAACAATATCAAATAATAAATTACCTGTATTTTACAGCTGGCCAAAAATGATGCTGTCACCTCAGTTGTTTCATGTAACCACAGCACTCACCCTGTTGCTGGTGACATCCTACGCTGAAAAAGAGTACATAGGAATTTGTGGGAAAGGAAACCAAGGAAAAAAAGGTATCCACAAGTCTTACTTACATTGAAATCTGGATGTGTTGGTGTATTTGATGATTACACTTGATAAACTGAATACAGTTGGGTTATATGATGATGCTTGATTATATGGTTGTCAAGTAGATTAAAACCAGGATAGGTTTTACCTGCAGATAGTGGTAAGGTTACCTTGGGGGCTTCATACAAAGGTTCAGTTTCAGGCCCCAGTCTACTACACAACCACATTAAAAATAATAGTCAGAACCTAACAGGGACCCTTGAACAGATGGGCATAGCTTGTACTGCCCTAATAATACCAGCAGCTCTGGCTAAGGAATCTTTTACTCCCTGCTACTGCTGCAGAACCTACATAGCTAAGAATGAGAGAGCTGGAACTACCCTGGGTTCATGAAGGATTTAACTGGAAAGCAGTGAACTACAGAGGTGCATCTGGCCAGGACTACATGCCCGGTGGTGCTGACACATGGAACAGTGGCAGGGGCTGGACTCCTGTTCCTGTGGGTGGCAGACAACGCCTCTTTTTTTTTCAGATGCTGACATCTATTGAGAAACCTCCAAAACACCTGTTTTCAATGGCAGAAAGGGAGGTGACATTTCCCCCCACAGCTCCTCCCACACTGTTTGCTTCTGCAGCTGTTCCACCCCTCTCCACTGGCAAACTGAGAGCATAGTAGGGTAAGTGCAGGGGTCAGGAGGAAGGGGAACAGAAAGGTGAGATGCCACAAGTTCTATTCCAGCCCTTGCCTTAGCACCTAACAAAAAAATCTCTCTGAGCCTTTTGGTACCTATATAACTTTAAATGTCTGACTCTGAGGGACTATCAATACAACGGCAACTGATCGTCATTACAGAGTCACTTTTCAGAGCAGAATCATACTTTACAGGTAAGAAATGAATTTAATTGAACTAAATGTTAACACGATAAAATTACATTTCTGCTGGTAGAACAACCTCAGTCAAAGGTGCACAGCAAAATGTGAAGCCAATATCAGCAGTACCAATGAGTTACTCCAGTGCTTGAATGTAATAATAAACTATTACCTTCTTGCTAGGTTAATTACTAGAAGGGGACAAGCCTTCTAGTAATTACAAGCCTGTTTCTACCTCACCCCACCAGACCTTTCTAAAACAGCAAGGAAGTCATAAATGGTACATATCAGCAGAACAAAATCTGCTGTCTGACCATGGCTCACCTGTCACACCCACTCATGCCCAGGTGGATACAAAGATGCTGCATGGCATAGAAGACTAACCTCAAGAGCTAAGCATTTCCATTCACCAGGTAACCTTCAGGAACACAATATATTATCAGCATATCAAAAGGTCCCTTATTTAAAACATTGAAACCAAACAATTTCACACAAACCATTAGATAAACGTATACCAAAAAGAAGAATGTTTCAGAAAATTGCAATTAGTTTTCCATAACTACTTCTACTTTATATGTAAAGCCTAGTTCCAACATTTTAGATTGAGTGTATACATTATTTTTGTCCATAGGCTTGCCACTGTCTTTTGGCACCAAATTACAAGAAACACTTCAGGTAATTTGTCTGCTTTTTCTTACTTCCTGATTTATAATTTGGTTGACTACAAATTAGATCGGAAAAATTAAAGAAACTTGAAATCAGGCAGAATTTTCTGAGCATTTCTACATTAGATTTTACATTCTATTTCTGGGGGCACAAAATCCGAAAGACAAAATCAGAAATCCTACATGGCTCTGAGGATGGGAGAGTAATAAATCTAATTCTGTTGGTGTAATGGTAATTATATTACTAAGCATAGTCTACCAGCAATGGGTAACTTACTAAATGACAATAACTTTCTACACAAATGTTTCAGGAGTCTCTTTCTTTATCAGGCACTCTGGGTGTTTATACATGTGCTCCAGGAGTGGTGGGGTGGGTGCTTTAATTAGAAGGACTCTCAGAGCTACTCTAATTAAAGAACCCAGACAGTCATGAGTATCAGCATCCCCATGCTGAAAAATGGCAGTGGGTGCTTTAACTAAAGCTCGTCAGATGAGCTTTTGTTAAAGCACTCCCACTGCCATTTTTCAGTTTAGGGATGCTGATACACATGCCACTGGAGTCTGCTGGAGTGAAGTAATTACCACACTGCAGCAGACTTGATTAACTGAGTCTCCTCCAACATACTGTAATCCCTCATCCTGTAGATTTATAGATCTTTAAGACAGATGAGGAGACATAGGAGAGAATCCAGAGAAGAGAATAAATGGGGTGTTAAACATGACATAGAAGGTAATGTAGGAAGAACTTCTATTATGAAATCTAGAGAAGAGAACCCAAAGGGTGATCTCTTCAACTGAACTTCACCTCTCTATCCCTCCCTACTGTCCTCTACTGTCCCCATCTTTCCTTCCCTATTATCCTATCTTTTAATTTAAATTACTTTATTCTTTCTGTTTATACCCCTGTGCTCTGCAAGTCAACTCAGTGCATCTGACAAAATAGGCTGACACCTGCCAAAGCTTAAGCCTCTCTGAACAAATGAGTCTCAACAGTGCTACTTTTCCCTGCCTTCTGCCTGCCTTCAGACTAACAAACCTAACTACTAGGCCTGTGCAAAGCAGCCAGTATTTGATTCGCATTCAGATTCAGCCAATTTGTGGGATAGTGATTTGATTCAGTGATTTGGATCACTGTCCTGAATCTTTCGGCTGAATCGGATTCGAAAGATTTGGTGCTGATTCAGTGTGATTTGGTGATTCGGCCATAGATTATAACGGGAAATCACTAAATACCTATAACTTTGTCATTTATTTTCAGAAATAGATGAAAATAACAGAAATATTAGCCCCTTCTGAGGGCACAAAGCCTGCCAAGTTTCAAAGAGATAGGTGCAGGGGTTTCTGTGAAAGTGCCCCTCAAACTGTTGAAAGCAAAACTTGTGTTGTGTGTGTGTTAAGGCAGAGCAGGGTGAAAGCGGCAGGGATGATAGCCCCTTCTGAGGGCAGGAAGCCTGCCAGGTTTCAAGGAGATAGGTGCAGGGGCTTCTGTGAAAGTGCACATCAAACTGTTGAAAGCAAAACTTGTGTGTGTGTGTGTGTGTGTGTGTGTGTGTGTGTGTGTGTGTTAACAGGGTTTCTGTTTATAGCCATGTTGGTCTAAGGAACAGGCAGGCAAGGTTCTTTGAGTAGATGTGATATCTTTTATTAAACCAACCAAATAGCTGAAGAAATATATCTTGGCAAGATTTTGGGTTTAAAAACCCTTTGTCAGGCTAAGGAAGCATCTGCAGTTTGTGTATGTGCTCTTCCTGGATGGAATGAATAGTAAAGAAGGCAGAGGCTGGTATTCAGGCAAGAAAGCTAGTCAGTGAAAATGTAAATTGAGGTGTCATGGGGTGAGATACAGGCTGGAAGTGGGGGCAGGGAAGGGGGATGTAGCAGGTAAAATTCGAGAATTACCTGGGGAGTCACATGGCAGGCAGGTTATAGTGTGTCAGAAATCCAGTATCTATACTGAGTCCATGAGTTTTTATATCCAGCAGATTCATTAAATGAAGTTTGTAGGCCTGTGTATAAAAGCTGTTTTGTAAATTTAAACAAGCACCAAACCTCACTAAACTCATCACCAGAAGCAAACTTCCTACAGGCCAAAACACACCGAATGGATCCAGACCATGCCATGACAGGAAATGCAAAACCTGCCAACATATCTCCAGTACCCCCACAATTCCTACATCCCACAACAGAACCATCACCGTTCCTGGATATTACAGCTGCACCTCCAGAAACATTATGTATCTCATTCAGTGCACCAAATGCCCTGATGAAAAATATATAGGGGAGACCAAACAACAACTGTGCACCAGAATGAATACATACCGCACATCTATTACAGATAAGAATATCCAATTACCGGTGGGGGCACATTTCTCACAAGGAAGCCACTCTCCCTCCAGTCTCTCAGTCCTGATCCTCAAAGGGAATTTACAGAACTCCTTTTCTAGACAAGCCTACAAACTTCACTTCATAAATCTACTGGATATAAAAACTCATGGACTCAATATAGATATTGGATTTATGACACACTATAACATTCCATCCAGGAAGAGCATGCACACCAACTGCAGGTGCTTCCTCAGCCTGACAAAGGGTTTTTAAACTCAAAAACTTGCCAAGATATATTTCTCCAACTATTCAGTTGATCTAAAAAAAGATATCAGATTGACCCAAAGAACCTTGTCTGCCTTGTGTGTGTTAAGGCAAAGCAGGATGAATGCAGCAGGGATGGTAGCCTGTAACAGTGGGTCTTCCCAGTGCTGCTTAGATCGCAGCCTGCCCACTTGTTTCTGGGCCAACCGCCCATCCCTCTTTCTCCTGCCATGCCTTGATGGAAAACTGATTCAGATGTTACCCAGGTGGGAAGGCTGCCCATTTAGACCCCTGGTGTCTAGGGGTAACATCCATTCCATAGGTACCTCCCCTACACTGTGCCCCAAGCTCACAGATCTTCCCAGTGCTGCTTAGATCGCAGCCTGCCCACTTGTTTCTGGGCCAACCGCCCATCCCTCTTTCTCCTGCCATGCCTTGATGGAAAACTGATTCAGATGTTACCCAGGTGGGAAGGCTGCCCATTTAGACCCCTGGTGTCTAGGGGTAACATCCATTCCATAGGTACCTCCCCTACACTGTGCCCCAAGCTCACAGATGGCATCCCAGGCAGCTAAACTTACCTGAGCCTCACAACTCCATTGCAAACAGCAAGAATCAGGCCTCTCAAAGATCTGACAGGTCTGGGCTTTCCCCAGCCAGGACTGTACATGCATGTGGTAGCTGGAGGTTTTAAGACACCCCTACCCACCTTTCACTAGGGAGGTTCATGGTCCTGGCATTTCCTGGGGCTACTACAACACCGGCAGTCCCACCAGGCCTCCCTACTCTGGCAGGGTGCAGTTTTAGGTCATGCCCAGGACCTGGGGCCTCCTCCTTCCTCATAGCCCCAATCCATACCTCCAAGTCCATCCTATCATGGGAACTCAGCAGGGAGATGTTCTTCCCCTGCTGGCTGGTGAAATACTGCCACTGCCAGCTCTGAGTGCGGGGCATTAAATGGTTGTCAAAACAAATAAAAAAAGCAAATATGTGCAGAATGAAGATGGTGGCACTCACTCCATCAGCAGGTGGAGCTTGGGGAACCCCAGCAGTGGGAGGTTCACCTTGAGGAACACCAGTTGTTCTACCAAACCAGGATCCAAGCAGGTGCTGTGGGGTGTTACAACATCCCAGCAATGCTGAACACCCTCTCGCTTGGAACACTGGTCAGTGGAGAGGACAGGTGTTCCTGCCACATCTGGCTCTGGGCTGCCCAATAGGCCAAGGGTTCACATTGCAGTGGCTCCATGTCCTCAGCAAGATAGGTAGCCGCCAAGGCCTCAGTACTATTTGCCAGATGGTGGGGTAAGGTGCCTCTGGACCCCACCATTGAAGCCATGCCCTTGGCCCACATTGGCAGCATCTGTCGTGGAGGAGATTGGGTGGTGCTTGAAGTGCTGGCACAGGACAGTGGATCCCCCTCTTCCACATCCCCCCACCTCTGCCCTTCTGACCCTGTTCACCAGCACCTCCATCTAGTGATCAAGAGTTTTGCTGCTGCAGATGCTTCCCTTAACCCTTGGGTTGCACATGCCCACCAGCACATGGACAGTACTGGACCACAACAGATCCAGCCATTTTTTGATGCCCTCCTTCAGCTGCTTCACCAGTGCCTGCACCTATGGTGCAAGTGGCTTGCCCCAGCCAGGAACATCAATCCCCTGGAACTTCTACATTTGATTCTCAAGCTCCTTCACTATGGGGATCATCTGGCTAAGGAGGGTATCGCCAAATGCTGAGTCTTTTGGTGGTCTTGAGGAATGGCTTGAGGAATGGCTTGAGCACCACCAAGATCTGGGAGATGGTATCCTACTCAGTTTTGTTAAGGGGGCTGCTCATCCTAATCTCCCTGAGCAAGATCATCTCATGGATGCCTTGTGTTACTTGACCAGCCTTTCAAGCATCAGGTATGTGAAGCTGCACCATGTCTCCACATCCTGCATGATTTTGTGCTGCGGGATGCTCAGCTCTGCCTGTTTCTCCCATAGCATCTTGCCTTCCTTGATGCTCTGGTGGAAGTAGCCCACCACCTTCCTGCATTTTGAAATGAGCTGGCTGGTAGTGACGGCACCATCACTGGGAGCCCTGTTCCCATCCAAGGCATCCCTGACTATGAGGTGGAACTTGTGTGCCACACAGCAGATGCCAACAAAGTTGGCATCACAGATGGCCTTGACCATATTGGCCCCGTTGTCGGTGACCATGAACCTGCGGGTGAGCTCACCTGCCCAATGAGCCACCCTTGCTCATGTGGTTCATGGCCACCATGATCTCCCTTGCTGTGTGGGACCCATCCATCACCTCTGCTTGAAGGAGAGCCACCAATGGCATGACTGATTGCACCAGTGCCCTGTGAGGGAGATGTAAGTATGATCTCCACCCCGGCTGATCCAGATGTCTGAAGTGAAGTGCAGGGCTACCTGTGGCCCTGCCTTGTGCAACTCCTCCCTCAAGTACTCTCTGCATGCCTCATACAGGGAGGACACCACCATCCTAGTAAAGGTGGTGCATGTGGGCACTTGGTAGGATGGGGCCACAAGTGCCATGAGCTGCCTAAACCCTGGATGCTCAACAAAGGAGAAGGAATGGCCATCCAGAGCAAGCATCTCCCCAATGCCCTGGGTGACCTTGCTTGCCTTGCAACTTGTCCCCCTTTGTCTGTGTCTTTCCCCCACTGCTTCAGGGTGGCCTGCCTCTGCTTCACGGGGATAGGGGCTTTGGAGCAAGAGGGGGGCTTCTTTTTGGGCACACTCCCACTGGTGCCAGGCTGAGGAGGAACAAGGGCAAGGGGGTGCTGCCACCTGAGATGCAACAGGATTGCTGTGGTGGCAAAGTGTTTCATGTCCTTGCCCCAGCTGATCTGACTTAAGCAGTGCTGGCAGATAGCATACCTAGGATCATCTGCCAACTCAAAATGCTCCCACACTACACTACACTATGCCCCCCCCCCCCACACACACACACACTTCTGGGTTGAGGGTGGGGAACATGCCTTATCCCCCTCCTCAGCAGGCAGAGGCACAACATCAGGGGAAGCTGAGCCACATGCCCCCACAACCTCCTCTGAAGTACCTTCCAGAAAAGACCTGCCTGTAGGGGAACTTTGAGGGGTGTAGAGCACAAACTATGATTCCTCCTCCTTCCCCAGAATTTCCCTGGCTATGTCACTCAGCTCCCCTGGTTCCAGATCCAGCTCCTCTTCTAGCACTGGAAGGTTCATGCTGGGGGTTGAAATTGGGGGGGAGGAGACTGTCATGCTGGTGCTGGTAGCTATTTCCGGTATTAGTGGAGCTGGTGCAGAGACAGGTACTGCTCTCACCTGCTTGCCCCACTGGCAGCAGAAGACTCATTGCTGCCAGGAAAGAGGGTGCATCCATGTTTGGGGGGTGGAGGAGGACCTGGCACCTGCCTTTCCAGCACGCTTCATAATGTTTGCTGTGCTGGAAAATGTGTGTGTGTGTGTGTGTGTAATATATCTTGTATGTGCAATATACTACCTGTTTAATATATGTGTGTGTGTAATATCTTCTATCTGTTTAATACATGTGTGGAAGTGTAATATATCTTCTATGTGCAATATATCTTCTATCTGTTTACTGTATCTTCTATCTGTACTATATCTTCTATCTGTAATATATTGGAAAGATATATCCAATCCTTTCCAAGAAGAGAGACTAGCGAGAGACTGACTAGGAAGCCAGCCACTGCAGCTAATACCTTTCACATGCTGTTGCTTCCAGGCAGAGACAGCTCACAAAAGGCAGAGAAAGGCTTCACACAAAGATGTGTTGTTTCTACATCCCTCCCCCAGAGCGTTGCAATTGGAAGGGAACTCAGAGAAAGGTCACAGCCACTGGACAACTACAGATGTCAATATCAGAGTAGTCTTTCCCCTCCTCCTGCCCCGCTCCCTCTTCTCAGTTTCTGTTTCTCTACAAGACCGTCTTTTCCAAATCACGCAATTGCCAAATCCTTCTAATCAATTTGGAGCTTTTAATGGGTCGATTCAGATTAGATGATTCGGCTGCCAAATCAGGCCGAACCTTCTCCAAATCGAATCAGCAACCAAAGCGTCACACACCCCTACTAACTACATCTCTCTCTCTCTCTCTTTCTCCCTCTTTCTCTCTCTAATCAATTTTTCTACCCTTCCTTTCTCTTTCTATCTTAATAATTCTTCTCCCACCTTCTCCTTTCTTCTCAAGTTTATAATCTCTTGATTGTGCAGAACAGCAAGTCTATATATTTTAGCAGGTCTTTGACACTCACCCCCTGAGAAGAGGCATGGGTTGAGGGATGAGAATAATGTGGTGGCAAACCAAACAATAGTTTGGGCATACTCATTTTTGCTGTAAGGTTCTCAATTTCATTTGTTTGAAGGAAAGCAGACAGTGGCAAAAGAACTGTGTAAAATCATCTGTAAATGATTAACAAGATTTTCCCTTTACTTTGCAGCCATTATTTTGACTAAACAGCTAATAGAATATGGAGGGAAATTGTTTGCTACCAATGGGAAATCAGCTGATTTTGAAACCATATTTAACATGTGCAAAAATGCTGGAGGCTTCATTGCATCCCCCAAGAACAAGGGGGAAAATAATGCCATTTTGGAGTTTGTGAGACATTTTAACCCATATGCATATTTGGGAATAAAGGAGAGTCTGAGTCCAGGTGAATTCCTTTACCTTGATGGCACAGAGCTGTCTTATACAAATTGGTACCCAGGTGAACCCTCTGATAGAAGGACAGAAGCTTGTGCAGAGATGTACATTGATGGCACCTGGAATGACAAAAAAATGCAATTACCATCTCCTGTCTGTGAATTTTAATTCCTTCTTCTCCTTTTACTTTTGCATTGCTAACAATTCTCACGTTCCTTGAATTCTTTCACCCACAAACAGGAACCTGTTCTTTCTGCACTGTAGTTAGTGAATTTTGTGATTATTCTGCAGGAGAACATGAAAATTAATAAAATCATGAAGCATTAACTTCCTTCCTGATGTTAACTTTTCTGTCAGAAACTCTAATGGGACGTTTATTTGCACCATTAACAATGACTACTTGGTGAGATTTGCTCTCAACCCCAGATGATGGCATATGTTATAACCAGTGTTCTTCTGATCTACAAAGCATCTGGTGTGTTCACGACTATGCAATCTGTTTTCATGGTGTTGTGTGTGGCTTCTGATGCATCCATCTCCATTAGCAAAAAAAGATTTACCCAGAGTTACTCAAATTTATCAGTATCATGCAGCAACTGTAACAAAAAGTAAAATTTAAATTTGCTGGCATTCCCGTAATATATTGTCCAAGGGTCAGGGGCTTCCAGCTCCTCCTCCTAAGCCTGAAAGGAGGCCTTAAAATAACACACACATCAAAAATGTCTGTCTGCCCACTTTATGCCTGTTGCCTTCCACTCAAGTTCCTTCTGCCCCAGCAAACCTCTTTGCAAACCAAATTCTGCCCCCACTGTGGCTGCTCATCTGACTCTTTCCTGGCCACTCTCTACTCCTTGTGGCCTCCAAATTATGCCTTGCCCCAACAAAATCAGGAAACAGTGGCTCCTGCTGATCCCTTGTGTTTGGTGGCTAAAGAAAGGCTTTTTTACATTTCACCACTCAACTAGAAGGCACTGGGGCTGGGGTTAAAATCAGAAGCTCTTCAAAACTCCTCAGCTTGGAAGCAGGCCATTTCCAATGCTTCCTCACACATGGGCTCCCAAACCCCACACTCACTGACATAGAGATTAAGGCAGTAGTAGAGGTACTTAGCAACTCCTCCTTCCCAGATGAGCTAGGGGTGTGGGAGCTGCAGCACCTGTAGTATCTGGTTGGATTGCAAAGTTTGGCATAGATGAGGTAGTGGCTGACCTTCCCTCATAGTTTTCAATGCAAAGGGCCAAACTCTAAAGCAGCAATGCTCAATCTCATTGACCCTGTGGGCTGAATGAATGGTGTGGGGTGAGTCAATGGGCTGGGCCCCGTACACAGGGTTAGTCCACAGTTCTGCTCTAAAGGCATTTTAAAGGTGTGGAGGTATCTATATCCACCATGTAGACAACACCACAGAGACACAGCAGGGCCACCCAGGACACAGAGTGATTTCCAGTTGCCCCCCAAGATAACAGCTACAGAGCTACCAGCAGCAACTGCTGTTTTTCTCTCCCCCAACCTCTCCCCTCCCACCACCACCTCCAAATCATTACCCAAGACTGTTGCCCTATTCACCTAGCCCTAGTTAAGCCACTGCATGAAGGTTTTCATAGATTTCATAGACATTAGGGCTGGAAGGGACCTTGGAAGATCATCGAGTCCAGCCCCCTGCCCAAGGGGCAGGAAGTCAGCTGGGGTCACAGGATCCCAGCAAGATAAACATCCAATTTTCTCTTGAAGGCATTCAGAGTAGGTGCTTGAACCATCTCCAGACCTTGGGGCTCAGACAGTAAAGGAATTCTTCCTTATGTCCAGCCTGAAACAGTCTAGCAGGAGTTTATAGCTGTTTGACCTTGTCATCCCTTGGGGCGCTCAGTGAACAAACATTCCCCCAGATCCAGGTGAACACCCCTGATAAACTTATAGGTGGCCATCAGATCACCCGTAAGCCTGCGCTTTTCCAGGCTGAAGAGTCCCATAGCTCTCAGCCTCTCATCATCAGGTCTGTTTTCCTGACCTCTGATCATGCGCTTGGCTCTTCGCTGGACTCTCTCAAGCTTCTTCACATCCTTTTTGTATTGTGGAGCCCAAAACTGGACGCAATACTCCAGCTGTGGCCTTACCAAGGCCGAGTACAATGGGAGAATGACATCCTGGAATTTGCTTGAAAAGCATCTATGGATGCAAGCCAGCATTTTGCTCACTTTACTATCCCTGGTATCACACTGAAGGCTCATGTTCATCTTGTGTTCAATCATGACCCCCAAGTCCCCTTCATCTGTAGTACTAGCCAGTGTAGCACTGCCAAGCCTATAAGGATGCTGCAGGTTTTTCCTCCCAAGGTGGAGAACTTTGCATTTTTCAGTGTTAAACACCATCAGGTTCTCATCCACCCACTTGCTGAGCCTGTCAAGGTCAGCCTGGATTGCCCGCCTGTACTCGGGTGTGGATGTTTTACCCCAAAGTTTGGTATCATCGGCAAACTTAGCCAGTCCACTTCTGACTCCAATGTCCACATCATTAATGAAGATGTTGAACAATATAGGCCCCAAATATCCCCTCAAGCATTACTGGGGATGGGCCCACCTTCATAGGCAGTTCCGACCACAGTACAGGAAATGGCAGGCTGAGAGTAAACTCAGTGTCAGGCTGTGATGCCTGAGGGAAGCCCTGCATTGCAGCAGAGAGGTATCCACACACTGCTGAAGTCCAAGTTTTCCTACTTAGCTCAGGTCTGCTCTTTAAGTTTTGTCAATTTCCGATAAATCGCCCAAAAATATTACAACAGCATGAGGAAGAACACAGATCCCTGAAATATAGATCAGGTCACATGATCTGCCAATAGCTCAAACCAACAACTACAGCTGTACAAAGGCAGCAACAAAAGGAAATAGGAACATACCATGACTGTGAGGGAGTAATCTTAAAATCCACAAGCAAATAGTGCTTATTTTCTCCATGTGCTCAGTGGCAGTCCATGAATTCTCTTAGCATTGATTCCTCCCTGCTTTCAGCAGAATTTTCCATATATTATCATGGTTTCTGTTTTGTCTAATTAGATAGTTTACCCTGTCTACATATTATTACAGTTGTTTATTTAAGATAGTTAAAGTAGCAGTTCTTGTGCTGGAGCAGGACATTTTTCTGTTCTATCAAATTAGTGTCCATGTGATTTCTTTCACAGTTTAGTGTATTAACTTCAAAATACCAGCACCTTTTCCATGCCAAGGACAATGTGGCCGCATCCACATATGCATCTTGTGCTGCCATTAGTTGTCCCCGGGGAACGCCTGTGCCATGCACCTTCTGGCACATGGAAAGTTACTCCTGGTGGGAGAGTGGAGGCTGGGACTAACACTGGTAATTTCTTCTCTGTTCTCTATAATTTCTTCTCTGTTCAGTTCCTGGAGCAGCACAGGTAACCATGGGAGATTGTACACTGGCAGCTTGTTATTTTTATGAGCTTGCACCCACATAAATAATCATAATGTAATACTTTAGAATATTAGAACAATATTGGAATACAGGAGACAAACGATATATAAGGATTTTAGTTTTCCCTGTCTATTATTTTGTGACAGCGACCTACCTTGATTCGCAAGTGGACTTAGTACTGAAGTCCAATTCACTGGTCTAACCTAGATGGACTAAGTCTGATACCACATCAATCCAGGTCTATCCTGGACTGGGATCTACCATTTTTAAATCAGTCTATATGCTCTGAACTTCTGTTGTGTTCTGTATGGGTATAGACTGGTTTCTGATCACCTGAACAAGAAAAATGTAATGTCTATACCTGACCTACATGTCACTAATTGCTTAAGCACCCAACAGTTCTTGCATATACCTTCAAATCCCACCCTGATTGCTGACATTCCAAACAGAGTGCAAAATAGTGTTCTTTTGAGTTCAGCCAACTGAATATGCTGCTCCCAGGTAGAGCTTCAGATGAGCACAACCCCCACTGTCACACTAATGCAAGAACAGCTGGCTAGTCCTAGAGTTAGTTCAAAGTGGCATTCACATATTTCACAGAAACATTTTGAAAGAAACAAACATTTTGGGGTTTATTAAAATAGCCACAACATAGACCAAAAAATCAAAAAAGAATATTATGAAAATGTCATTCAATTTCCTCATGAATCTAACCCTCCCTCCGCGCACACACACACCTTATTATTTTCTTTAATGTGGAAGATTTTAACAACTGAATGTTTTGTTTTGAAATTTTATAATAATAGAAAAATATAGTTGCAAATTATATTTTAATATATGGTTTCATGCTTTGAGGAGTCTGAGAGACATTTTACCATCCCCAGTTACTATATTTTAAGAGCTCTGAAAAAAATCTGTTGAAAATCTGAAATGCACTAAGTCTATGCCTACACAGCAAATCAAAGTGTGATTGTAGCACCCTTAGGAATACTTGCACTCACTTTAATCTAGCCAGCAGAAGTGACAAGATAGTAGAGAGGACACAGTAACACAGACTTCAGGCTCCCCAGATGGCTTGAGCAATTCATGCTGGAGTCTTTATTACTATATTGTTACCAGTGCTAGCTAAATTAATGCTAGCATGAGTATGACTCTAAGAGATACAATCACATCTCCCAGTTACACTGTAAATATACCGTAAGATCCAGAGCCAGCATGTAGTGATGTCTATGAAAGATTGCCATTGGCTTCAACAGGCTTTATCTTGGCCAAATACAATCCCAGTACTCAGAAACTCTGCCTTTGTGTTTTCAAAAGTATACAAAATAAAATAATCAAATATGCTGCATGTTGAAGCATATTCATGATGAAGTATGGTTATCCTGGATTGTTATATTAATTTATTTATTTTCCCAGTTTATAAAAATATACTTCTAGTTTTAAAACAGCAACAAGATAAATTTACATTCATTTACTTTATGAAAATACTCACGTAAGTCACAATATATGCAAGGTTAAATAACTATTTAAAAAGCATAGAATAAAAAGAAAAATGTAAAGAATAAAAGAATGAAACTGCAGCACACTAACCATAAAAATATGCTAAAAATAATTGCCTAAATAGAGTAAAATATGGCTTTGAAAATGAATATATTGAACAAGTATTAATCAAAAATAATAGTTCTATCCTGAATCACTATTAAATGTAGCACTTAAAAACTGATTTCTCCCAGTGGTAAATAGTGCCCTCATCTACACGAGATACTGGCTGCACAGTAACGACTTGTATAAACACTACTGTGCAGTAGTGCCAATGAATGACTTTTTTGTGGTGCTAACCTAATACTATTGTGCAGTTG